ACGGGCGGATCAGGGTCATAGGCATGTGGCCGTAGTGGCTGGAGTGGTCAGAGTGCCTGGACAGAGTGGACGGGGTGGGACGGGGTGAGACGGAGCGTGCTGGTCATTGTGTTCGGCTTGGTCGTGGTGTCTGTGCTCTCGGCAGCTGGGTCGCGTGACTGGCGGCGTGGCTGGCACAACTGGCGTGCGTGACTGGCGTGACTGGCGTGACTACGAGCATGACGGGCATGGACCACTAGCATGACGGGCATGGACCATTGTGGACATCATACACATCATGGACATTGTGGCTGTACTTGTTGAGACTCATTCTGGACATGCTGGGCATGTTCGACCATCGTCGTCGTTGTCATCATCATCGTCATCGCATCTGCTTACGAGCACATCGGCCCGCGACACCATCACAGCAACGAGAAAGGGCGACACAACTCACTCACACGGAAACGAGGCGCATCGCAGCACATTTGCAGCGAACGGCAGTGGCGGCGGTTCAGGAGGTGTCGGACGTGCTGCTGGACAAGGTCAACTCGGGCGTGGCGCAGGTCTTTGCCAACCAGCGTCTCATCGAGGGCGAGGCCAAGACCCTACATTCCCAGACCTCGCGCCTTGTCAAGCAGACCGGCCAGTGGGTGACTGCCGTCGAAAAGTTCAATTCGGCCCTCAAGGAGCTCGGTGACGTCGAGGCCTGGGCGAGGGCCATCGAAAGCGATCTCCGTCACGTCGCCGCCTCTCTCGAGTATGTCAACGACGCCACAACGTCGTCGTAGTACACCATACGCTCCAGATCTAAACTCAATCTGCCGTCTAGCAAGTCGACGCCGCTGATGACGCCGATGACTCCGACGGCTCCCTTCGCCGATACGCAACGTACTCGGTCCGGTACGCCGACAGGTCAAAGTCACTGCTGCAGGTCTGCGTCGCCGACGCATCGGTCGACACCCCGCTAGTGCTGCCCGAGCTGGAGCTCGATTCGAGGCTGGAAGCCACACTGCAAGAGGCGTCAAAGACAGGCCCGGGCAGCGGAAGCGTCTCGAGCGTCACCGTCGTCTTCAGCTGTGACGATGAGTCGGACAACGACGAGAATGCGCGCTCCGAGGCACTCGATCGCGATTGCCGCGACCTCCGCCTCCGTCGTCGCTTGCGAGGGCGGCTCCCGTAGCAGCAGAGCCATCCTCCGCCACTACCGTCTGCAGTAGTCGAAAAGTCGTGCGACGACGGCCGGTGCGCGTCCGATCGTGGCAGGACATCCGGCGTCGGAAAGTTGGCGTATAGCGCGGCGTAGTCCCATTCATGTGGCCGCCAATATAGATCCAGGCCAGCGCTACAGTCTTTGGGCAGGCTGGCTGGCATTGGGCTGCACGACTTCGATGACGAGTCCGACGACGACGTCGATGACGATCCGACAGCCGGCGAGCACCCTGTTGGCGGCCACGTCGTTACCGCAGATCGGCCGGCGACAATGCTGGGACCCATCCATGGCCCCGGCTGTGCAACAGTCTCCGCGGAGCTCCGCCAGAATCGGCACCAGCCGGGGCACGCCGGGCTCCGCGCAGCCTCGATCCGATGAGCAGACGCCGACAGCGCAAACGAGGCCACCAGTCCAAAGTGGTCCGACGGAAACAGCCGACGCATCTTGTCAGACCGCCCGCCGCGCTCGGGCGTCGCCAGCGGGCGGGTTCCGATTCGAGCCATGTACTCCGGCCGCCATCGCGGCCGCTGAGGGTGAGCCACCATCTCGTCGAGAACAGGCATTGAAGGCGGCGCCGACGACGACGAGGCGGATGACAAGTCCGAGTCGGGCGTGAGCGATCGAGTTCGCGATGCAGATGCCGAGATGAGACTAACCGGCGGGCCGGAGAGCCGTCGGGCGAGACCGACGTGACCCGGCTCAAAGAACAGACAGCGATCGTAGCGGACGTGAAAGGCCTTGCGCTTGATCTTGCGCAACATCTCATTTGATGCCGTGTCCTGGGTCAAACCGGGATCGTCCGGGTACAGCATTGGCCACATGTCAATGAGGGGGGTGGCAACAAGCGCAAGCTCCTCCGGGGCATCGGTCGCCACGTTGGTGTCGCCGGCAATCACCACCAGCGCCGCTTGCTCCCAGTACGGCTCCAAATGACTGCGGATGTCGAGGATTTGGGCGACACGAAAGGCACCAAACTCGGGAAGCGACTCGAGATGAACGCAGCCGACAACGATGCTGTCCGCGGTGTTGACCTCGATCTCAGCGAGCAGCAGCTTGCGGTTCATCCGCGAGACAAGATCAAAGGCAATGAACCGTTTGACAGGTAACCGGGAGAGGATAACAACGCCGTACGGCTGCAGCGTCTTGCCGGAGCCGTCCGAGACAACAAAGTTGTTGCGGATCCATGCATGGGCGAGAATGTGGTTGAGGCTTCGCGGCATGACCTCCTGCAGGCAGATGACGTGCGGATCGAGGGCGCGCAACTCGCACAGCGCGGCATGCAGCCGCTCGATCCAATACCCGTCTGCAAAGAACACGTTCCAAGACACTATCCGGAGGCGATCCAACCTCACATTGGGCAGCTCAAGGGATCCATCATGCTCCATCGTCTGCCCCTCCCCATCCCCCGCACAAACAAGGCAACATGTCCAGTCGATCAGTCGAACGTGGAGACCGGGGGCATGCAACAGCATCGCATGCACCAACAGAGATCCCAGGCCATTGCAAGGTGTGGTAAGTACAAATCAAGCACGCGATAAGTCCATCACCCATATCACGTTGAGAGCACCGCCGCCATCACCAGTGACAGTCGTGTCCGGCCAGCACATGTTCCCCACCCCCCCCCCCACAGCAGCACCCCCCCGCACGCCACATCGGTCTCCCGCAATGGATGTGAGTGGCTATATCCAAGCCGAGCGAGTGCAACCGATTCCGCAACACCACACTCTACGACATCGCTAGCTTGTCAATGGCGTCCTACATACCGATGTGGAGGTTGGAAGCCATCTCCGCCGACTGGAGTCCCATCGCTGCGGCTGGAGATTGACTCGGCCGAGCGGACGGCCATCGCCTCTTGCAGCGCGCAGCATGTCCACAGTCACACTACGCCTTCACCAACACCTTGCCACTCTACGACCTCCCGGGATACCTGCCCAAAACCACCTGGAGTCGAGTACCTGATCCTCTAGGCCGTCCCCCCCCCCCCCCCCCCCCCCCCCCCCCCGCGCGATCTGACTCGAGAAATGTGAGTCGACTGCAGAGCGTCGAGCTCGGGTGTGTCAGCCGCAGACGGGTCGAGAAGCACGATGAGGAGCACGTCTGGTAGGATGGGGGAGTAACCAACAGGTCCCCACATCCCCCTTCCGCACCACGTAATAGTCAATTTGGCATAGCGCCCCGCGACGGCCACAATGCTTCATGCA